AAATCCAGTAATATCAGTTCAGGCTGAGGGACAGTGACTAGTGGGAAGTAATACAGTTATGTTACAATAGTAGTAGAATGGATACTATTCTGCACAGCAAAAAGTGAGGAGATGCATAGTTTTTTGTTTTTTGTTTTTTTTCCAGGATCTTCCTTGAAAAAGGCACATGAACCCAGCATTAAGCAAGGGAAACAGAAATGCATTTGTTTAATTAACTGTTTAAAGAACTAGGGACAATTCCTCTTCCCATGGAGTGATACAAGTGTACTGTGAGAAAAGCAGTGTATGCTTATATGAGAATATAATATATAGAAAATGCATATTTTCTAAAAATAATTTTGTATGGGTAACTAACTTCTGTGTTTGCAAACTGCTGAGTGCTTTATTTCATAACCCAGGAATCTTTGCGTGCACTTAAATGTAATCTAAAGATGAAGAGAAACAAAACCTTTACACTTGGAGAGATTCTGACGAATTCATCTAAAGTAAACCAGGCTTTTATCATTAAGGATTTCAGAGCTGTTGAAAGCAATGTATAAATAAGTATTTTTCCAGTTATGTGAACACAGTTGTTTGGGACAGCGAAACAGATTTTAAACTGTTCAGTTCTATAGTTACTGTGGTCTGTTCTTTAGTGCCAGAATTCTGTCATTTCTGAAGGAGGAATTGGATTTACTTCTGCATAGCAGTTGTGTTTAACAAACGGTTAAATTTAAAACACAAAAAGTACAGAGCAGGAAGTTAAGATATTCAGATATTCAGATCTTTAAAATAAGGTCAAATCTGAAGCAAAGTATGTGTGAAGAAGGTGATTAAATTTACTTTTTGATATAGGTCAGTCTTTGTCAACATATGTATAATGCATAGAGTACATGAGATTGTACAAAGCAACATAGACGGTAATGATTTCTGTTTAGCTACCACTTCTAACTAAAATCTTGAATCTTGAAGTATCTGATCAGTGAATCTTGAAGTATCTGATTTATACATATGTTTTTACATTAAATGTAATACAAAAGACTTGACATTAAGAAACGTTTCTTTACTGAGAGGGTAGTCAAACACTGGAACAGGCTTCCTGGAGAGGTGGTCAATGCCACAAACCTGTTAGTGTTTAAGAGGTGTTTCGACAATGCCCTTAGCAACATGCTTTAATGCTTTAACTTTTAGTCAGCCCTCAAGCGGTCAGGCAGTTGGACTAGACATCTGTTAGATTCTTTCCAACTGAAATATTCTATCTTATTCTGAAACAATTTTTGAAGCAAGGCACTGGGCAGAAAAGCTTATTTTGACAAATATTTATGGAGTTCATGAAACTATGTGAACAAAGTGATTCTGCAAGGCATAGCTAAATCTGTTTAACTTTTCTTATTTACTGATTACTTTTTTTTTTTTTTTTCCCCCCCCCTAGGGAAATTGCTCTCATTAGAAATGCTGGGATAAAGATTTATTTTTCTGTATTATCTGTCTTGTGCTCTCCAGTTTAGACTAAGTAGGTGTTACTGCCATGGCTGCTATTTTTTTTTTTTTCCTTGTTGTCTGTGCTATTGCAGCCGTTTTGGAAGGTCCACTACAGAATGGGCAAGTACAGAGTAAATTCCTCAGGATCTGTGATGGTAGAATAATACTGTCCGCACCAGTGTTCTTAGACTTGTTTACTGTAGGTATTTGATGTGTGTGTTTCTGCAGGTAAAACCATATATCTCCTTTTAATTTTCTTCTTTTTTCCTCATAACTGATAGTGATTCCTCACCATATTCAGTCAAAATAGAAGTCTGTTTCTCCTGATACTTTGGTTAGGAGGAAGCAACAGAAGTTTCGGGTATTTCTGGTTTCTCAGTTCATGAGCTTTCCTAGGACTGTTTCATGAGTCAGAATAATGTAGTACCAAAGAGAATGCTTTTCTCAGGAAAAAGGGAAAGAAATACACCCTGTATCACTCAGCATGTGCAGAAAGTGCCACTGGCTATAAAGGGCATAAAGACTACATAAAGTTCCAGAAATACATCCAGTCGTCTCTCTTCTTTTGCTTTTAGAATTTCTTTTGATTTTAGATTGTCCTATGCTTATATGCCATGAAGTTTTCATATATTTAAAGGAGCACTTTGATTGTTTTCCCCCCTAAAATGAAAATGCACAAATGAAATTGAGCAATCTCTTGAGCTGTTAGGTGATTTAGCAGACATATCAGACTTTTTTTTTCCCTGTTGGCACTAGTCTTTAACTTCCTTCTGAAACTGGCTGCATTGCTCGAACAGCTTGTTAAGTTCTTATGTTGCTATTTTGGTTGGTTATTAGTGATTGGGGAAAATCAGACATGTCTGCAAACTTTGCTGAAGACATTATTTATGATTAAATGTGTGAAGGGTTGAATTAAGGATATTACAAACTGTATTAGTTCAAAACTGTGAATTAATGACACATACTGACCTGAATTACAGTGTTAAACTTCGGTATCTCACCTTTACAATCCTTTCAGGGATACTGTCTATGTAGAAATGTTCTTAATTCAAGAAGTCCCTGAGCAGCTAGTGATTGGTGACCAGGAACATTATTGGGAAGTATTACAAATTCTTACCTTGTTCTTATGCTGTTCCCATGGTGGCTACTTTTTGCAACTCCTGAAATAAGAGTGTTGGGATAGACTGAGCTTTACAGTACCTGGTATGGCCAGTCTTTATGTTCTTATGGGAAAACAGAGGGAGAAAACTTTTAAAGGAACAAAATAAAAGCAGGAAATATTAAAAAACCCTTAAAGCTCAGTATAAGATTCATTAAAATGGTTTAAACTTAGTCTGCATTCCCAAACACTAACATGCCAGTTATAACGTCATGGTATAATATTTACACAGAGGATTTAAAATTGCTTGGAATCCTAATGGTGATCACAGGAGGCCTATCCCAAACCCTAATGTAGTATTTCTTTCGTATATCCCTAATTCTAAGTTTCTATAGCAATTCATTTTGGGATAATAAAGCCAATTCTAATTACCATGAATTAATGGCATATCTAGGTATGTAGAATTAAAGAGAAATAGGAGTCAATTTTAATTTTGTACTGGCAGTTCTGATATTCCTAAGCTTACTGTACTGTCTTTTAAAACTGTAGTGGTCATTGTCAAACACAGACTTGGAATCGCTGATTTTCCTGGGTTAATATTTCAATTTATATTTGCACATTTTTGGTTAAGATGGAATACAGTCTGTCTAAGTATAATTAAATGCATATATAAACATCCCACTTCTGAATGGATTAGAGAAGTTCGAACTAAGTAGCATGTGCAGACTCCAGGTTCATTCAAGAATACTAGTTTTAATCCTAGCGCCTGCTTTGGCTGAAGTAAATGAAACACATGCATCCAATGTTCTTTTAAAGCTGTGTTTTGCTTATATTGCTTGTTCTGAAATGTGCGCTTCGCAGTAACTAAAGTGGGGATACAATATCTTTTCCTTGTTGAAGTCTGAGTGGACCGCTTAGAACATGTGTAGTGAACAACATGTTAATACACTCTTCAGCACTGTTCAGTAACACAAAAATAATGTTGTTTAGATCTCAATGAGGGTAATAAATGGTGACCTTTGAAGAGGCTGTACTAATTATTAAAAATTATAAGCTGTAAGAGTTGTAAACTGGTTATTTAATACTTTCTCTTGCTCCAGGGTAGAATCAAAGAACTTATTAGGCATTGTAGCTACCTAACATGTTCTTAAAGACCTTCAGTGGTGGAGATTTCACATGATGTCTGACCACCTTTAACAATGAAAGAAGGTAAAACAATGGAATAAATTCAACATCTGCACCTGCAGTGCAAAAGATTCAATTTAGGGTTAAACCTGTTCCTACTTGCTCTGTCTACATGGAGATTGTCTTCAATTTGCAGCAGTGTTTTCCTCATAGATATATTCTGTAGACTTCTGATTATTTTTGCTTCTGCTGGACTCTAGTGGCTCCATGTCTGTCTTAAATTGCAAGAAACATGATTGCTTGAATTGAGTGTTTGCCAGTGTTATGAAGACCAGACAGTTATGCTAAAGTGGCATTTTTGTTTATGTATTCTGGTATGCCTTTTTCCCAAAGGCACAAGTTTCCCGACTTGCATTCAATTTGTGGTCCACGGTGATGTCTAGGAACATTTTTGACATAACTGCTGTATTTCCAGGTATATGCAACTATGCATATGCATTATGCAGTTTAATACCTAATTTAAACTGCCTGCCTAAGTTTAATAGCTCTTTCTTATCCCTGTTCAATAGCATCCTGATTTTAGACCATTTTTTGTTTGTCAAGATTTTTTTCAAAATTTTATTTTAAATTTTTATTTTTGAATGATGAAATGTTAGTAACTGTTTTGAGAATGGGTTTCAGATCAGTCCTGATTCTCTAGATTAATTGTTAATTTCAGTCTCCTCATCTGTGTACAGTTCTGTTGCCTGAAGTGTGGCTACGATACTGGGACTGCATTACATAACAAAGAAATCAGTTCTTACTCCTTATTCTTAGGTATTTTGTAGATATTTAGAAAATTTCTAATTTTCCTGTAGGTCCTGTCTATGCTTTAGTTTTCTTTACCTTACTCACCTATGACAGATTCTTACAGAACCTGATGGCTTTGAGATCTCACAGCTGTTCTCTTAAGTAAAGTCTAAAGTGTTTTGATTCAGCTAGCAAGTTAATCTCTGGTAGATGTTTGTGATTTAAAGGTATTTCTTCTGTTCATGATGTCCATCATATATTTAATGTGTCTGTCATGTTGCTTTTCACTTCATGGTATTGGAGTAAGTGAGCCACAGTTTGCTCAATTTCAAAATGTATAATGTAATGAAAAGTAAGACGACTCAAGTGTTAGTGCTAACTGACTTTGAGTAAATCTTATGTAGTAGGAGGGAAGAAAACTAAGCTGACTCTTGATGAACATTGTTAAAAACATATGCATTGGTATCTGATTTGTATCCTTCACTGTTTTTTATAAGTAAGATTATTTTAATTTTTTTTTTTCAGAAATCTTTTGGACAGAGATACATTTTCTAAATCTGATCCAAGTAAGTATATAACATTTTACTGTTTCTCATCATCACATATTCCAAATGTGTAAACACTGGGTTAAAAATTAGGTGGGTGACTTTCTTCACTGTCTGTTAGGTTTACATTGTCTTTGAGACAATTATTTAAAGTAATTAAGTTACATTTAAATAAATTACACTTACAGTTTCTGTAAGTGTAATTTATTTACTGAATTCTGGAATTTTAATTCAGTATTGCTTTCCTCAGCTACATGGTATCTTATTTATCTGTCAGTGTACATTTTCTTAACATTAATGATTGCAGAAAGGTTTGGGGTTTTTAAGTATCTGTTATTCTAGATTTCTTTTAATGCTAGTAAGCAGACTTCTAAATAAACTAGAAGCACTTGTTGCTGCTAGTACATATTGTTCACTAATCTTAGTCATATGCTGAAAAATAAAATTAAGTTAATTCTTCTCTGGGAAACATGACCTTTCCTGATCAAAAATAGTATGATGTTTCATGAATTAATGTTTTCAGATATGTAAGATAGTGACACCCACTTTCCCCATAAGTTTTATTAATGTATTACTGTCTCCCCCCAAAAATGCCATGCCTATGAATTTATATATGATGGGACTCTTGATTTAAAATTCATTACTATCTTCCTGTATCCGACGCTTTATAAAACTTTTATCAAGGAACTGAGACCACAAAAGATTTCATTTTTTTCTGATAGAGTTTAATCAAAGTACTTCTGTAGTGTTAATTGACCAGTCCTTAGATTATGGTGTATTGGGTCATGTTGTCTCCCCTACAACTCTCAAAAGTTAATTTTCCTTATTTAAGCCTGGGCTTTTCTTCCTTAGAGTACATGTATTGTGCTTACTGACATTGGAAATAACCTGACACACATATACTTCTACTAAGTGTCTGGACATGTAACCATGTCCTGATGGGATAACCTTGAACACTGAGTCATGTGACAGTATGAAACATTTGAGTACTTTTGTGAGAGTATGTTTGACTGTTCTTAACCAAAAGTTTCTTGAGAGAGATTCCACAACAGATTTTTGATGGGAAAAGCTTCTACTTCCTGCAGAAAAGCTGTATGAAGTTAGGAGTAGCTCTGACATTCCTAACCTGTAAAATGTTTTTTCTTTAAAAAAAAAGGAGACATAGACAATACCATGGTGTAGGGAGATCATGCAAAAGCAGAACTGAGTGTCTTGCATATTACTAACTGGTTTTTAGTTGACTAATAAAACCCCAGTTGTCTAGGTTAAACAGTTTTGAAGAGTGGTCAGTGACCTATTGCCACTGATAAATTGAATTCAGAGATCTTATTATTGAATCAAGGTGCCTTTCAAAAAAAGTGATGAGGTGTCTAGTTTTAAGCTCAAATACTATTACGGACAAGTACTTCAGGTTTTTATCAGATACGTAACTGTATTAGGCATAAATTGCTGGGTTTGCGCGGCAGGGGACTGCAGTGTGACCTGTGTGGGAGGAGGCCATGAACCACCCTGTGGCTGTCACAGCTGGTTCCAGTCTGCTCTGAAAGCGATGCGAGTAACCAATGCCTTCCAGAACTTCAGCCAGCCAGGGGAGCACACAGTCCTCCTGCCCAAACGTATTTTAGAAAAAAAGCAGCAGCAGCTAGGAGCTAGAGACACAGCTGCCAAAGATACTGCTGGAAACATGCTTCTAAAACATATGGTGCTAGAAATGCGTTCTTGAAAGGAGGCACCCCATGCAAAAGGCAGTACACCTCTGAAGGGTCTGTGGTCTCTGGGCAGCCCAAGCCGGGGCAGGTGGGCAAGCCCAGGCAGTCGTGGCTGGTGGGTGATCCATGCTGGAGAAGGGACTCAAGGAAGCAGTGGCAGGAAAGCCTAAAGAACTCTTAATATCTATCAAAATATTTCTGAGAAATAAACTGGTGGTATTTCCTTTGGATTCAAACTATATGGAAAAAATTTTTAAAGTGTAATAGCCTTAACTGTCTTTTCAAAGCATACTGCTTTCTTGTTTCTGGTAAATAGCTTATTTACAGCGCTCAAATTGCGTGTGCTTTAGAGATCTGGTCTGAAGTTGTGAGTACCCAGTTACACTGCTAAATCAGGCCTATGTGTCACAGGTTAGCAGTACAAAAATGTGGAATACAGTAATTCTGTACTTAATAAAGAGAGAAGGGGGAAACTGTTGGCTCTGTAGGTGTTCATACCGTATTTGCACTCAAGAAATTACTTGGCAAAGCAACTTTGATTGTGGGTACTCTCCAAACATAATACATAAAGTTTTCATATTCTGCAGATTTTCTTGTTAACAAATTTAGTTTGCTCCTAGTGTCTTTTAGTTGAGCACAAAGATACAGTCCTACTGTAAAAGTGAAAAGGGTAAGGATGGAGTATAAAAAGTGCTAACCTTTTCTGTAGTTGGAAGTATGGCAGGATAACTTTCCTCAGTGTGTTTACTTGGACAAAGACTATTCTTAGGCTGGTCTGTATACAGTACTTCTATCCTGTTAGCTAAAAGTGTCAAAACCAGGATCATGCAGCTTTCACAAGATCCACTTTTAGACCCACTGAATTTGCAACCATTAGATCCCAGACATGATAAAAACATGTAGAGTCACTCTGTATGTTGAGGTCTCATTGGACTTTTCTATAGTAGGCCAATTCTAATATGCTTTTCAAACTCCAATGCAGTTATCTAGGGATCATACTGATAGTGAAAATCTGATTTTAATCTCTTGGTCTTTTTCACAGGGACATGAATATAGTTGATTCTCATGTCAACATAAACAGCCTTCTCCTGAAATTAAAAAGGAACTTGTGATTTCTCAGTTCTCTTCAGAGGTTTGCTTAGCTTTTTTTTTTGATACTGTAATTGCTACTTAGTATTTATTCCAATTCTGAACACTTCCCTGCAATCTAGAATATTCATGCCAAGAGGAAGCTGGCACTTTGCCTCTTTAGAGGCAAGTTACAGAAATAATGTAGAGATATTAGATATAGACAGGACAGACTTGGATAGCCCTTATTCGTGAAGTATTTTAAACAATACTGAAGTCTCTTACTGACAGTGCTTTCTCCTCGGTGGAGTCAGAGCAAGTCATATATATTGATTTACTGTAGCATTTGGACCATTCTGTTCTTCCAGTGTGAAGATTTTCTAGGAATAGTTTTGAGAAAACCCCTTTTTAAAAAGTTTTCTTGGAGAGAATGAGCTAAAGCAGTACTTCCCTGATGAGGCAGGGATAACATCTCTGCAAAGGAGATGTAGATTCATGAATTTGACATGTTTCTTCATCTAATGACAGACAGAATAATCCTCTTCCCACGCACTGGCTAGTCAAACTGAGCTACTGTGCAGCTGTAGTGGCAGCATCATGGTCAGGATGGAATGTCCTCTTGTGACTCCTGAGTATGATAACAGAAAGTCTGATATGAAAGACTGGAGAGGTAAAAGATTCCCTGGAGTATCCCTCCATGGAAGATAGTAACAATGAGAAGAATATCATGGCAGTAGGGACAAAGGGGCCTTCAGGAAGCTCTGCCTAGAAGAGATAGAAGCTGGACAATGAAGAGTAATGGGGAGCCCCTGCTAGAACTGCGTGCAGAATCATGGAAAGATTTAGGTGGCATGGTGAAAAGGCTGACTTTACCATGGGTAAGACTTCCTTGAAAGGGACTAGATGTTTGGGAGAATTTAGGTGGGCAGTTTGGATGTAACAGTAATTGCCAGGTTAAAAGATAAGCATATACACATTGAATGGGAAAGGGTAAGGGTAAGGGACGCCCAAACTAACCGGGAAAATAAGAAGGTGCAGACTATAGTATTTTGAGAACTGAATCTACAACTGAGTGATAACTGTTGCCACATCCATCCTCTTCTTCATTGCAAGATTTCATTACATTTACCTTGAATTTGACACTGTGGTATCAGTGTCCAGTTAAAAACTGCTAAATGTTAATATATCTGACTGTAGGTATGTATGTATGTATCTTCCATTGGAAGAGCTCATATGGCAAAGCCTTCCAAAAGGGTTTCTCGGTCAGCTTCCTTGTAAGAGTAATTACTCATCAGTGCACTGCTCTGAACTTCCTCATTGCTCCCCCAGTTTTTCATATTACAGGAGAACTGGTTGTTCAGCTCTTTTAGGATGTGATTGCATGATGTGTTGGCTTTTGAAACATGAGAATTTCCTATTTATCCCACTTTGTTCCTTCCCCTCTCACATGACAATGCCATTAACTATTTTCTACTCAAAACAAAAAAAATTGGTTACTTCATGCAGCCTTAGATTTCTGGTTTGAGCAGTTCAGGTGCTTTAGATAAAATTTATCTGTATTTCTCCAGTTGGATATGACTTTGAATAAGTTTTTGAGGGATTACTGTAATTAGTATGTTATCAGGGTCTTTATAAAACTGTCTTTCTGAGAGCCTTTAAGGACAATGAATCTTACCACTGATGGAGATCAGTATCATGGACGGTTTCCTGAAAATTTCTAGGGTGAGCTTTAAAGGAAAGATGGAAGAAGTTTTAAAATTATTCTAATTTTACGAAGTATTTATCATATGTCTTTTCTATAGCTTTCATTAGGACTGACTTTTTTTTGAAATGTCAGTTTGAGATGCACGTGTATTTGTTACTGTTAAACTTTCATCTTGTACTTATAATATGGTAAATAGTGTGAGAAGATTATTAGTCTGTGTCTTCACCATATTTAAAGTACCTGTCACATCTGCAACCTAGATAAATGTCAGAAAATTGCTAGTAGTACTGCAAATTCTTAGCTCTTTTTTCCTCATTTAAGGTTTTATAGAAATGATTCTTAAACTAGGGAGGTGGTCCCACTCCTGGGTTATACCTTTAGGAGCACTGGGGAGCCACTGGTAGTGGAGAGGAATAGAAGTCTACTAATGCCTCAGCAATGAAAAGGTGAGAATCATAGGCAATGCTTGCTATATGCCTTCCAAAGATTAAAATTAAAAAAAGATAGTAAATTGCCTATGAAGAAACTGAATTTGGAAACAAGGATTCTGACAGACGTGTGTGAGCTGCCTTCCAAAATGCAGGAATAGAGTAAGAGACTGAATTAGTTTTAAGGTGGAGCTTTACACCTGTTTTTTAGCCCTTCTGTATTGTGTGATTCCCTTTTCATCAACCATGGTAGGAGACTAAAATTATTCTATGGTAATCTTTTTTAGTCTTTTTGTCATAGCTATTCTTTTATTTGGCTTCATAAACTAGAGAGATAAGGTAGTGCCAGAATGTTTATTTCTGAAAATTTGATAGTAGTGGATATTTTACAGTTTTATTATTGCTTTCTTCTCAATATCAAATCTCTCCTTTTTTAATATTCTTTTTTGTTCCACAGCTGCAATGCACAACTGTTACTTGATTTACTGTCTTAACACTAATACACAGGGCAGGATGTAGTACAAAAATAAAGCAGCAAATCAATAGTGAAAAATGATTATGTTTAAGAAAAATTTGGACAATACAAATATCTGAATAGCAAAAGTGCACATCACCTGTAGAGTGGCTTTTCCTCTAAATGAATTTCAGTTATATTCTCAACTGGGGTTACAGGTATGAGAAATTTCTAATTGAAAACAGATATAAGCTCTTGTCAAAATGGACAAAATCCACAATTATATCTGATTTTGAAATTAGTAAGACATTTGCATTCTTGGAAACTGCTACTGAAAATTGGAAAATATTCATTATTACAGAACTGGTAACATTAATTTTAAAAAGATTTTCCAGAGAGGGAAGTTAAAGGAATGTTTGTGAGAGCCTACCTGATACTGCTATCAGTAGGGGTATTTTTAGAGAATATTTGTTTTGCTTGGTTTTATCTATGGAAACTTCCTTTGACAACATTTCCTTCTTCTCCCAGGGTTACCTTGGCACAGATCTTACTAGATGCAAAGGTTAGTCAGAAGTTCAGTAACCTTCAGACACTTCTGTAGCTGATTTCATAGCTTCCATTTCTCTGTTTTCTCACATTTGCCCATTTAACTTCATTTTTCATGTAATATAGTTCAGCAATCTACTCCAGAGTGTGCGATAAAAATAGGCTTGTTGGTTTGGATTCGTCCTACTATAAGCAGGAACCAAATCTAGGAGTACGATTGCCCAAGGTTTTATTTAGAATAATGGAGACAGACATTTCCAGAGAACTATTTAAATATTTTTTGTAAAAGCTTTTCTTCTTCTTCAAAAAAAGAAGGTTGAATTGTATTAACTTTTAACTCCTATGTGAGCTAAAATATTGAACTTGCTTTTTTTCTGTTATTCCTCTTATTTGCTACTGCCTAATGGGCTTTTTTTCCTGTGTGGAGCAAATACCTTTCAAGTAAGAAGAAAATATTGTTTGAAGCTTGACTTCATTTGTACTTTGATGATTCTGACTTGAGAGAAAAACCAGGCTTCTACCTTTATTATTCAAGGCTGCAACACAAAACATTATTATTTTTAACCTTCTGCTGAAAATTAATGATTAGCACAGGAGAAGAATTTGTCAGGCAAAAAGTATTCAAATATCTGTATTTCCATTGTTTAGAAAACAGTTGTAGTGGAGTTTCAGGTAAAAATTGCTTTATGGTTGTTAGGTGCATCTAGTTCAAGACTGTAGAAAATAAAGTTTATAATACTCCTTTGATGCAAATGTTTTGTACTAATAGTAGTTTTTAAAAGACCTGATTATAATCACTGTACCTCTGTCACCAGTCCCTGTGATGGAAGCTGCAGATTAAGGTATAGTGGGTTCTGTACTGGAAAAACAGATCTGTAAAGAGAGTGATTCCTGTGGGATTATGCTGCTTGGTCTTTCAAAAACAACTTAGGTTGACAAACTTGATTGATTACATTTTTAATTAGGTTTTGGTTTAAAAATAAAAGTTGCATATGCAAGATAGATATAGATACATATAAATATTTTGAAGCAGAATTAAGCAAGAAAACCTGAGAAGGTTAGTTTTGTGGTTTTTTTTTTACTTTTTCCGCTTTTAATTCCCCTGTCTTTTTCCAGTAGGGTCCTCATTTGTTTTTATTATAGTTCTCTCATCTCTTGAAGGAAGCATAATTTAGGGTAATTATGCATTAGATTAACTAGGATAGCCAGACCATCCACATTTAATGAAGTCTTGCTTTTATCCAATTTTACTGCTAAGGATTGTAAAGTGATTTGCTGGAGGTCAAGCATAAGTGTTGTCTCCCATTTTAGAACCACCCTATTTATTAGCTCATTGCTGCAACAACTAGACCATCTGGTTAGACATACTGAAAACTGAGGGAAAACACATTACTATTTGATTGTCCTAGTTACTAATTTGAATAACACAACAGACTACAAAATTGGTTCACTTAATTTAAGAATATGTTAAAGTCTGAAAATGACCAGATATTTTTTTCTTTTCACAGTCTGTGTTTTGTACACACAAGCCATTGGAAACAAAGAATGGAGAGAGGTAAGATGCACATTCATAGATATATAAACTTTCTGAGTATACTTAAGGCTGGTCACTTGCCCTAACAGAAAAGGGCATGTCATAGCCTCTTGAATGTCATGCTAAACAATGGGAGTCTTGTGTACCAGTAAACACTTAAAACCTAGTCACAGTAATCTCAATTTCCATATCTGTATTGCATATTTCCATCAAAAGGGAAAACAAAATTAGAGAAAATACATGAGTTTCCTGTTTTACAGTCGTCCTGAGATAAATGAAATCAAATTCAGCTATCAGTCTGGACAAGGTTCGTGGATATCAAGAGAGGAAGACACTGAAAAAGTACGAGTTCTGTGGAAGAATTCAACTGTGGTGATGATCAGTGTCAGAAATACAAGCCAGTAGTTGTGGTAGAAATCTACTTTTCCTGTGTAGTGTTTGGGAGAATTTAGGTGCTGCTGATAGAGTACATGGCAGGCAACAAGGGAGGTAGGGTACTATGTATAGGTTGAATTATGTATTCTTAACCTATTGGTGTAAACACTGGAGAGAGATTTCTTAAGAAACCAAATCAAGTACCTCTAAATTTGATATCTACAGCGGATCAACATTTATAGCCTGGAACTGTCTTCCTGTGCTTAGTCATCTGATTTTTCTCCCTTAATGTTATTCTTTGAAAGAGTTGACAGTGTTAGGGGAAGGGTGGTCATCTTTCTACCGATAAAATGCGCTACTTAGCTGTCTTATAGAGAGGGTGGATGGAACTATTCTTCACTGTAGGTGGTCTGCTGTGTGGCCATGCATTCTAAGCAGAGCTAGAGAGGACTGAACTATCTTACTGTTTTTCTCTGTAAAAGAGAGGAGGTCTGATGTTTCCAGAACTGGTATTTTATATTATTACTGCTGTGTAAAAATTCCAGCAGAGGGACCAGGGGCACAGAAACCAGACCTCTTTCCTTATATTTGGTGTCCTTGCCAGTTGGCTGGAGATACATATTTTTTGCTTTGCTGAAACATGGTGAATATGGGTTTCAATCTTGTCGGGATAAGAGAATTGAATTTGTCTCCTGCCTGGAGAAAAGCTCATATAACTGGACAATACATGGAACATCGTACCTATTTCATCTGTAGTTTTTAGTTAAATTGCTGCTCTCTTTTGTTCTGAACTGTGTACTAGACATGTTGTCAGTGTACCTGATGGATTGCATTCCTCTGATGGGATGTTGCAGAGAGTGACGGAGTTTGAAGAACTGTCAGTTTGTAGACCCTAGATGGAAATTCACTAGTCTGAATTGAATTGGCAGAAGTAGTGGACATACACAAAGTTCTAAATGTCTGGATAGCTAACTCTGAAAACAGAGGAATCTTCAGGCATTCAGGTGACTACGTGGCTTGGTGCAGTTTGGTAGTCACTAAAATACTGATTTCCTTTTTTGGTCTAGGGTTAAGAGGATTTTTTCAGAAATGCAGGCTTTTATTGTTGCCTAATGTACTATATACTACCATGTAGTTTTTGTGGAATTTTCATACCTCTCTGGTGTAACTGTTAAAATAGGTATTAACCATTTTTAATGTCATTGTCCTGATAGTAGAACTATAACATTGTCTTGCCTAGAAAATGTTCCATGTGCTCGTTTTGAGGTGATTGAGGAGATTGTTGATGGAAACATTCCATCTGCTCTTGATTTTAACAGGTCCAAGTTTATAATGGTTGAAGTGTGTCACCACCTTATAGCTTTGTATTGTCTTCACAGAATCATCTAGGTTAGAAAAGACCTTGAAGATCATCTAGTCCAGCCATTGTCTTCTGCCATTTTATCTCCTTGACCAAAGCAAAACCATCTGAACAAGGCAGTGTGCACTGTTATTGCTTGTATTGTATCTTCACAGTGATAAAAGAGTATCTTGGCTAGGGATACACTTTGGCATGTGGTTATGCTATCATATGCCAGTTTCGGAACTACAGGGGTTAAAACAGACTTTTGACAGGGTGGTTGCTAGAAAGTCTTATGTTGTTTTCTTTTGAGACATAATTAGTTCTATCTTGTCTATCAGGAGAGGGTCTAGTTATAGGTATTTACAACTCAGTTGACTGTTTAAACTATTTATAGTTAATGGAGAAAGATAACATCCTGAGGGCAGTTCATCAGACCTAATTTAGATGTCTAAATTAGATCAGATGAATCATTCTTTAGAAATGATCATCCAAGTGATGATCAAAAGCCTACACTTATGAGTATGTCAGATGTAAAGTTCAGTGAGAAGAATCTCATTCCTAGTAGCTGTTATGACAGTCAAAATTCAGAGGGTGGCATGATAGAGGGGCTGAGTCAGAATTGCATTTTATATGTTGTGGTGTATTATATTTCTACCAGTAGTATAAAATAATGTGTTAGGTAGCAGATTAGTTGTTCTGTACATTAGATGGGGAATCTCCTATCTTCTTTTTTGTGCTTTTTCTGCCTGCAGTGCATTAATACTGTGTTTTTCAATAAAATTCTGTGCATGGGTCGATTTTGTGGCATTTAAACATTTATTTAATATTTTACTAGCTTGTAAAGGTGGAAGCCACCTGGACCTGTTTGGAGACAACAAAACTGAAACAAATAATAAGCCCCAGATGATATGTATAGACATTAAAGAATGGTGTTCAGTCATGGCAACATATTTTACCTTGTTTCTGTTCCATATCCTTTTACGCATAGTTCTCTTCCTTCTTTTGCCTTAATTACTTTTTTTTTTTTGAACACTGCAGAAAATTCTTGGGGATCATAAACACAGTATATAATTTCATAATCTCCATAATTTCCCTAGCACTCTATTCTAGAAGTGTGCTTTTCTTCCCTTTCGGCTAAGCTATTTAGATGGATTCAATACAACAGTTAAATCAAACCCCTCATTTAATGAAGGGTAGATATTTTCTGGGCACTGACTATTGTTTGCCTGTGATACAGATTCCAGTGTTTTCACCCAGTGTTATTCTTGCACACTAAATCCTCAGCAAAGAATCAGAATCTTTAATTCTCAATTAAATAGGGTGTTGTTTTTCAAATCAGTTTCCCTGTTTTCACTTACAGTGTGAGCATCAGGTATTTCAATTAATATAACTGGCAACAAATATATCATCAGAATCTGAACTTTGGTTTTAAAATATTTACTTCCCCTTACTTTGTGAGGACACATTTGAAATATGACTAAGTATAACTTACTTATCTACAGAAGCCTTAAGTAATATATTGAGAGAATATGAATTTCTTAATTTTGAAGAGGGTGTTAATTCTGAAAACAAGCGGGAACACTTCAAAGGTGAATGTTAAATAAATAATAGATAGTTTAAAAAATAACCAACTGCAGTTTTACTAACAGTATGCACCGGTGGTAAGTGTTAAGGAACTGCCTGTGGAGCGAGGCTCTGAGCCTCTGATACATCTACTGTAAGAATGCATTGGATGTAAATTGAATTTGTATACCTGTCTGGAAGTCTGTTCTCTCACTGGTCCTCATCATGAGGTGAGTCTGTTCTCTCCTTCTATCATAAGATACTAGATAATGATGTTGTGCAGGACTCAGTATCAAGGCCAGTTCCATTTAATATCTTTATCAATGATCTGGAGGAGGGGATCAAGTGCACCCTCAGTAAGTTTGCAGATGACACCAAGTTGGGCGGGAGTGTTCACCTGCTCGAGGGTGGATAGGCTCTATAGAGTAATCTGGTCGGGCTGGATTGATGGGCTGAGGCCAGTTGTATGAGGTTCAACAAAGCCAAGTGCTGGGTCCTGCACTTGGGTCACAACAACCCCATGCAACGCTACAGGCTTGGGGAAGAGTGGCTGGAAAACTGCCTGTTGGGAAAGGACCTGGGGGTGTTGGTTGACAGCCAGCTGGATATGAGCCAGCAGTGTGCCCAGGTGGCCAAGAAGGCCAATGGCATCCTGACTTGTGTCAGCAATAGCGTGGCCAGCAGAGACAGGGAAGTGATTGTCCCCTGTACTCAGGACTGGTGAGATCACATCTCAATTACTGTGTTTAGTTTTGGGCCCCTCACTACAAGAAAGACATTGAGGTGCCGGACCATGTCCAAAGAAGGGCAGTGTGGTGAAGGGTCTGGAGCACAAGTTTTATGAGGAGTGGCTGAGGGAACTGGGGGTGTTAGTCTGGAGAAAAGGAGGCTGAGAGGAGACCTTATCACTCTCTACACCTACCTGAAAGGAGGTTGTAGTGAGGTGGTTGTTGGTCTCTTCGCCTAAGTAACAAGTGATAGGACGAGAGGAAATGGCCTCAAATTGTGCCAGGGGAGGTTTTGACTGGATACTGGGAAAAATTTATTCACTGAAAAGGTTATCAAGTATTGGAACAGGCTGCCCAGGGAAGAGGTTGAGTCACCGTCCCTGGAGGTATTTAAAAGATGTGTGAATGTGGTGCTTAGGGACATGGTTTAGTGGTGGACATGATGGTGTTAGGTTTACAGTTGGACTTGATCTTAAATATGTTTTTCTGTGTAAATGATTTGATGATAATCTGACTGATTTTGTTCAAAGTGGATAATGTGTCTAGTAAAGTATTTCACTGCAGTATCTACCAATTTGGTTACTGTTTGAACCATAATAAGACATGCTTTTGAGTCTTATTTGTAGATTTTGAAGACTGCATTAAGGACAACGGCAAAGGCTAGGTGTTTTATAATCGACATTTATTGGGATTTAGATTTAGGATTTTTTAGAGTACCGATAAAGTTTCTTTGCAACAGTAATTTATATATCCTTTAGCAGAGAGACATGATAGAAAGAGAAATGTACTTTGCAGCAGATTAATTAAAAAAGTTTCAGTACAAGGAAGGAAATGATGGAGAGTATGGAAGACGCTTACACTCTCCCATCTGTGAAGAAAGAATAACTTTTGCTGTTGCTTGATACTCAGTTCACTGGAAAGCTTTCTCTGGCAGATTCAACTGTTTTGAAGGAATTAAGACAGCTGGAGTAAAAGAATATCATCTTTTCAAGGAAGTCACGTTTCCTTTCAAA